TATATAGTTTACACTTCTCTGTATCTTTGAGTATCTAATAGCTATAAAATGGACTCAAAAAATATACCCACGAACTTGTAAAAATTAACCGTTTAAGACATTTATTCTACCTTTACAAATATTAAATTTTTTTTCCAGTAAATATATTCAGTTTATTTATTCTAAATAAAAGTTGAAATTTTCACAAGCTTGAAAAACAATTCAATAGATTTTACAATTTTAAGAACTTTCATCCGATCAACACACACAAAAAAAAATAATACGTTATTAAATAAGCCGTCAATTTATATTTAATGGGTAGTGTTAAAAAGAATTAAAAGAAACTAATCCTTCCTTTACATACATTGTGCTAATGGCATTAATTAGACCATTAATTAAAACTTTAACACATTAACACATTTTTATAAAAAATATACATTAGTTCTTTAATATTGCCTTATTGTTTATTATAAAACAAAATCAAAATTTAACGTATATACGTAAATCAGCTTTGGGTATAACAATTTCAATATCATTTAAACATTAAGTAAAGCAGGATCATAAAAAAATTCTTACAAACTATTCATTCTAAGTCCATAAAGCAGACAATGCACATATAAAGTAATAGTAGTAGTGAGGATAAATTCGTTATATCAATTTCAATTAAAATCTGCTCTCAATTTTGTACATTTATAAAGATATTTTCCCAGTTAACATAGCTCTGTTACATTTTTTGTCGACAACAATTGAACAAGTTTAAAGGAAGAGGGTTTTTGGTGATAATATTTCTTATATACTCTTTTCTAACATCGGAAAAAATGAACAAACCAGAATAAAATGATAATCGTCTTCAGCCTTTGTCATGGAACAAAATTTTCATAATCTTTGTATTCTAGGAATATTAAAAAAATCTTCCTCGTTCTATCTCTAGGTGGTATGATGTACCAGAGAAGACTGATATGTTGTACATAGCTTTTTATGATAACCTTTTTAAATATAATTGTAAATTAAAACTATCACTTAAATACTTAATTATTATATACAAAATGCACTTCGGAGAGCCTTCAAAATAACTTCGTGCTTCTTGTATGAACATGTCATCTAATGTTTGTTTCACCTCAAACAAAAAAGTTTTTCATTTAGATAATATTTACAGTTCCATGTATAACCAAAACCTAATGTATAAAAAAGTTCTTTTATATGTGACAACCAGCAAGGAAAAGTGTTTGATTAACACACATCTAACATTTCCTGCTATATGTTTCTTAAAATACAATTATCGCTATTTTTTTTTATTTGTAACCAATACTTCAGCATTCTAAATTTTCTGTTCCATTGTAATTGTTTCTGTCCTAGTTCAAAATTTATATTATAATGCAGTGCTTTTTTTAACATCTAATACTCTTTTACAAAAATCTCCATGTCTTCAATTCTCACTTTAACAATTATCACATTTTGCTATACTACCAATATATGTATAATGACAGTTTGCTTACATTCAAATACATTGGTTTCATTTTTGTTATCAAACATATTGACTCTTTATACATTGTGCTGCTAGTACACTTTGTGTTTTGTTAAATTTACCATTAAAATTTGTTTTTTACAGTAATTGAAATTTTCAAAAATATCAATCAATTTGTTGTCATACACAAAAATTTTTCTTGAATAACCTGATTAAATACAACAATTTTAGTTTTATCCACGTTAACTTTAAGTTTGTTAAGTATGTTATACAAAGGATATTTTCTTTAAGAGATAAACACAGTTATAAGGAAGACATTTAATTACAGTTGTCCTTAAGGACAGATGATACAAACAAAAAATGGATGTCTAGATAGGTATATATTTTTTGGCCTTTTTCTGTTATAAATGATGCAAATAGTAAATTTCTAAAATAAAAAGAAATCGTAAACCTTCTAGTGTACCATTCACCAAGCATCCTTCATAATCTACATAACTTTTTGTCACTTCAAATCCAATGTTAGTGAAACTTTTAATGAAAAACTAAAGGCTTAATCTTGTTGGTTTTACTTATATAAACATTATTCATGTTGTTATTTTTAAATTTTTGACAAAAGTTTGTATCATCTTTCCTTAAAGCCAACAAATACCGTATAATCACTAGGGATTCACGAGGAAACATCTTAATGTTGGGTAATTACCCATAAATTGTCACACTGTCACTGGTTTATTACTAGTTCACATGTGTAGAAAGGAAGAAATCGAGGAAGGATGAAATTATTGGTGTGTAAACTTCATCAGCATATAACGAATTCTTATAGTAGTGTAAAGGCGAGTTTTTTTTATTAGAGTTGTTCCTCTTAGATCACATGGATTAAGTGATATATAACATGCAAAGAAATAAGGAAAAGCCTTAGAAACCGAGAAGAGTTACTCATAAAGAATGGAAAGATTCCCCAGTAGAATTCTTCTTTCTGTAAACTCCTCAACAATGTTTTGCACATGATTTTAAAGTGTAAAATAAAGACGTCTACATCTCTGTATTTACACTAAGCAATTTTCAAATACTCCAAAAATAAATTATGCAATTTTTTGCATTCAATTTAAACATATGCCCATATCGAATAACGGCAGAACTTCAAGCAACATGAAGTCTGACAGTCTGATTCAGAGCATGGTTTGAGATTTTGGGTATCAAATCAGGCAATAACTTAGAAATAAAGAAAAAAAAACTGGTAAAAAACAATATATGAAGTCTGTTATAGTAGAGTCATTAGGCTGTCTGGGTAAAAAGTAAAAAAAAAATATCCAGAGATACCTTTGTGTCGCGAAAAAGTTGGGAGATATAGACCATGCTATGATAGTGATCTAGGAATATTACCATAAAAAATAAGGAAAGCTTACAAAAGAAAAGCTAACATACGTATCTAATGTTTTAAGCTGAAGCCTAGGCCACTATAAGTATTTTCTCTTTTTTCTGCTTCATATTAATACAAAAATGAGTTAGCACACTTATACAGAGTTTCTTAAAACTGTTCTTTTGATTTACATCTATACGATATATCCTGGTAACTTTTAATAAGAAACATATAAGACAGGGTCTCTTATTTATATGTCTCTGCTTTTATAAAAGATACCACATAGTCAGTCAAATCTGTTTTATAAATTTACTAGGTAATTTACTAGGAAAAGACGATTATGGTAATCTGACAGCAAAGCTTTATGCTAAACGTGATGACTTTAACTTTTCAGTCGCCAATTTACCTTACTGATGCAGCAGTATACCTTCATCACTTGCGTATGGAGTTGATATCTCTCAGTTTATTCGATATGCAAGAACACGATCTGCGTATGAACAATTTTTAAAACGAAGTACCTATATATAGTTATATACTGACACACAAGTTGACAAAACAAGGATATCAAAGTCTCTTTTAACGTCATTTTTTCGTAGATTCTATGATCGATGCAATGATCTTGTAAGCAAATACATGTACAATGTATCATTATGTTAAATGCTTACTGACGTTTTTCATACTAATTGTTAGTCCATTATTTATACACTAAACTGTCGACGGATTGATCCGTTATTTCACAATCATGACAAGAAGCACACGGCGGGTGTGACCGGTCAACAGGAGGGGGGGGGGGTACTTACTCCTCCATGATACCTGATCCCAGCTCTGATGTTTCAGAGGTCCAAGTTTTTCTCTGGTTTTGATTTGTATTGTTGAATGGACTTTTGAGCTTGAACACCGTGCATTATCCATATATTTTTGTAGCACACTTACATTTTTTTGTATAAGGTGTAACTTTGAATTGTTCATTTGGTTCAGCACACTAATTACCTAGAGTTATTAAAACTTTTCATTTGAATAAGCACACTTTTTAAGAGTTACTAAACTTTTTTATTTATTTGGCACACTTACTTAAAGTTACTTAAAACTGATTTTTTGAATAAGCACATTTGTTGAGAGTTACTTACATATGCAACACTGTTTATTTCTATTGCAATATATCATAAAATTTGAGAATATTAATTAAGCTTATGTCTGTGGAAACAATAGAAATCGGGAGCAGACCTCAAAACACATCGTTACAAAGGCAGTAAATTGAAGCTTTTTTAATTATTCGATTTGTTTAAGCAAATGAACAATGAAACTTTACTATCAATTTCTGGAGTAAACTACAATGTTAAAGTGAATATTCTCCCCAACCAAGAATTGTCAAATGCACTGTTAAATTCATTTTTTTAATTACATGTTTTACATAATTTTTTTACACAAACAAAATCGTGTGTGTATAGATTGATTAGTATTTCCATTTAAGACCTTCCATAACCAAGAATTTTAATGAAAAGAATTCAAAATGAATTTCAATATACGCGCTAATTTTTTTTTGTATTTTTTTTGTTGCTTTTAAAACACAAGTTATAAACAATTTTGTTTCAGGAGTTTTAAAAAGAATACACAAACAAAATCGTGTGTGCAATGCAAGAGGTATTTATTGATATATATATCAGATGTTTTCTACAAGAAGAATTGTTTCCCTTAAAATACTGTGAAAACACTAATTTTTCTTGGGTTTAATTTTCGTTGTTTTCGAGGCACAAAGCAACCCTAGAATTTATGTCCACCACGAAATGTAATTTTTCACATATATTACTACTCAACCATTTTACATCCACGAAATCAAATATCCACGTACCAATTTTTTTCCTCAAACAGCGAAAATTTGATCTCACGAAAATTTATGATCTTTAAGCAAAACTATCGAAAGTAAACGTTTAATCAAGCAAAAAACTTGGATTTACTTAAATACATTAGTATCATGTATCATGATTCAATTATTTATCTGAGAATTTCTTATGAGAAATATTTTATCAACCATGTATGTAAATATATGTTATCAAAGTATCACATGTATACAAGAGTTTATCATCTACTTACATTGTACATATATGTTATTATCTACTTCATGACACGATAAAATAGTTTAAAAACACTTTTCTTCTTCTGGGTTTATATCAATACATTTGTCAAAAAAAAAACTTAAAATTAACATGAATTAAAATTTATTGTATATAACGATTCATAACTATGCTTTTTATTAAACAAAGTATATTTATTGCACCAATATATAGCCATATCTTTACGATAAATTATCAAAATGTCATACATATCAATTTTTTGCCTTACGAGGCTTTCAACAGATTAAATGATGTTTATTTTATTATAATTTCGTGACTTTCCAATTCACCCGTTTCCAGATCTGGTTGGAAGACTTCCCTTCGATGTTTCTTCAGGCAAATACGTGAAATCATGACCACAAAACTTGAAGCTATGGCTAACGATCCGAGAAAATGAAAAGGCATGGAATAACTTCCCGAAGAATCTCTCAAGATTCCTGCAAAATGAAATATTTTCGTCACACAGAGAGAATACATGATTGTATAAATAGTAAATGAATTGTACTTATGTTAATTAAAAATATAAATTAAAAGAATATCATAGCAATGGATTTGCTTTAACTTATGAATAGGATATAAAACACATTCTAATATTTCAAGGAAATGGCAAAATCTTTTTATTTTTGTTATTTCTTGATCATGACAAAGAACACACGGCGGTGTGACCGGTCGGCAGGGGATGCTCACTCCTCCTGACACCTGATCCCACCTCTGATGTTTTAAATGTTCGTGTTTGCTCTGCTCCAAAAATTGTATTGTCTAATGTACATTTAAGCTTGAATCCAATATTTGTATTATATTAATACAACATTTATATATGAAGTTGATTACTGTTCATTATCTCCGTACACTACATTCTAAAACTCATGTGAGTAAAAATCACCTGTGATTGGGATGACTAATGTCCACGACAGACCTTGAGCAATGTGTAGTACACAACCTCCACTGGAAATTTCATTAGGATGCACAGACCTTTGAATCACATTAGCGTAAAGTGAATTGATTGGTCCTCCACAAACACCGATCACTAATGAGAAAATAACGAGGAGAAAGAAGTCAACGAAATACTGCAGAAGATTCTGTAAGATTCCTGCTACAAGTAATGACGTAGCTATGATGAAGAAATCGTCTATGTGTCGATATGATAGAAACATCCCTCCTGCTCTTCCAAGTATCTCCCCAATCATATATATACTTATTAAACTTGCACACTGGAGGTCATTTAAATTGTTAGAAGTACCAATGTCTGGAAGAAATAACACAGTTATCACTGTTGGTATTCCCAAAGCAAAACCTATGGTGAAAATAACGAACGACATGCTATTAATTATTGAACTATTGAAGCACTTGTCAAAGTTTGCTCTTCCACAAAAATTCCGTGTCGTGGAACTCTCAGAGTAAATGGAACACTCGCTGATGTCACTCTTGATACTTTTATCACTTTCTGTCCGTTTTCTTGATTTATATCGTTGTTCAAGAAAAGGTGTTGAAATTCCAAACTCATAACTACTATAAACACTCTTGTCTGGTAATCTTGATGTTTGTTGATTTTTCATTAAACTATCACTTGAACCTTTACCATCTTTGTTTATTTGCTCTGTTTCCTTTTTTCTGCTTTGCTTTGGTGATTTCTCGGTTTGACTTGTAGCTGGATTTTCGTCATCCAAATCGCTTCTGGATATCATTCTTTTAAACATTGCTTGCCTTGCTAAAGGGGAAAAAGTAGAATCTGAAGTCGGAGAGCGCGGCCTGAAGGGTTCCATCGTTACTCCGTCTCTTCCCAAAAGAGAAGCTTTCATTGCTTTTTTCTCGATTTTTCGTTTTAATTTTTCCCACTTTCTATACAATTCAGGTGGTCGCATCAAAGCAGATGCTATGAGTAAATGACCAAGAATACCGGCTGTTATAAGAAGGGAACCTCTCAGAAAATATTTGTCGATTAAACTTCTTTGTAACGGCGCAAACAGAAGTGCTCCTGCACACGAAGACAACTGAATACACCACGCTGCAGTGTTTCTCTTTTCCTGGAAGTATTGGGATACGAGAAGTGTGGACGGTCCTATTACTATTGAAAAGGCAAGACCTAAAAAGAAACAAGACGAAACAAGGTAATATTAACAGTTCTCTTTATTTCAGCCCGGTATGGGAGTTTTGCAACAAATTATGACACAAAAATGGCAAGAAACAAGTGAAAATAAATTTTAATTTTGAAACAAAACACATATGTAAGAGCAAAAATATTAAAGTAACACAATTTTTTAATGTAAACATTTGGAATATTCGTATAATCAGATAATCTTTTGTCTCTATTTGTAAAGATTATAAAGCAACTGAAATGACAATCATTAATTGTTTTGTTACCTAGAATTAAGCCATATGACACAAAAAGAAACCGCCCATCTTTCGCTAGACTGGAGAAAACAAATGAAAATACAGCTAACACAGTTCCCATAAATAAGCACTGTCTGGTAGTTAGGAACCGGGCACCATAGGTAAGGGCTACCAAACCTTTAAAAATCATAACTACCAAGAATGAAAATATAAAGAAAGTTATAAATTTATCAAAAAGAAATTCTAATTGTTTATATCCCTCTCCAGAAAATTTCACTGATTTCACCATTGCCGGTGAAAAAAATGCTCGGCACTTACGGCATTTGAACAGGGAGGGACGACGGCCACACCTGCTGTATTTCGTTACTTCCATATCGCCTTTTACGACAAGCAAGGGGGGAACACACGGCGGATTTATCAAAAAGAAAAACAGATGACAGATTTTTCCGTTATTTCCCGATTAAGACAAGGAACACACGGCGGGTGTGACCGGTCGGCAGGGGATTCTCACTTCTCCATGGCACGTGATCCCAACTCTGATGTTTTGGAGGTCCGTGTTTGCCCTGCTCCTGTTTGTATTGTTTTATGGACTTTTGAGCTTGAAAACTGTTCAAACTGTTCGTTATCTCCATATATTTCATTACAACATCAAGTGAGTTTTTGAAAAATGAAAAAGTTTGTATGACTAATACAATTACTTATGTGTATAAATAAGGTCAAAACTTATCACAAGACTTAAAAATTTATCCCTCGAAGTAACAAGTGTTAAGATATCCATTATTTAAAAAAAAATATCGAGGCGCATCACTGCTGTTTTAATGAATGAATAAAATTAGATTAAAACCTTTTGAAAGAAAGCGCCCCTATAAATAAATCTGTTTCCCTTGGTTTCAAGTTTTGAAATATCAGAACGAGTTACAATAACCTGGGAGGCTACAAATTAGAAATTAAAGCTAAGAACCGATAAATTATTGATTCATAAATCTTTCCTTGTTGAAACAATACAAATTTACAAAGCCTTCTATGTTTGTAGACGTTAGTCGTATTAAACATGTTAAAGACCTGAGTGTAGATTGTAAATCTTTCAATAGGGTCTTTTAAAGATAGTTGTATTTGCAGCTAATAATTCGGTCATCTATTGAATTGACTAGAATTCGGATGTGAACAAAAATATTTGTGTTCAATTGAACATTATCAAGATATGATAAGCTTTATACATGTAGTACTATATAGGACCTTGTGTCTGTTACATGTATATGAGGAAACATTTCTTTTTCATTTAACTGTATCTCATATATATATCTATATATTTCATTTAACTTTTAAAAAAAAAGAAGCATATGTATACTCTATACACGATACACACATAAACAGAATGGTATTATATACGTGGTTTAGACGGATATCTTTCAACATTACACTTCCGGATAAATAGGTTATAACCCAGTTTTGACAATCCACACAGTATACTATACCTCCTACGGTAAATAAACCGATATGTAGGGCCACAACCAGCGATATCAGGAATGCAGACATTCGAAATTCAGTCTGTAGTTCCACAAAAAGCACCCCAAATCCTCGAACTACACCTCCCCAAAGAAATGTTGCAATCATTGCAGCTGTAAAAAAATTACCCATGCAAAATTATAATTCACACATGTAAATAAAATGAACTTTAAAAAAAAATTCTGACAGTTTTGGATTGACATCGTATATAATGTCTAAGATCAAAAAAAAATATGAACATATATAATTGAGGATTTTTTTAAAATTAAAAAAAACCAACTTACCTGCTAGGATTAGCCATGCCCACCCCTCATCTATAGGTTGGGGAGGGGTTTTAGGGGGTTTTAACTTCACCTCCGGCATTTACAAGTCTGTCCGTGATGCTGTATAATTAAGATTCTTCTCAATTCAAAAGATTGTTTATTTTCTCGTCCCCCGTAGCTGTGAGGTATTTAATCAACAAACAATTGCCATTATCTCTACCAATGTTATCAGTACTAAGTACACAATCCAAAAGTCACAATCCCGACAGAAAAGCAAACACAGTAACCGTAATCCGTGTTTTGACTGCAAGTGAATGTACAGTGCATAGTGTTCTCCAACATCGTTTTTTGCTGATATATTCTACTTCAGAATGGCGTTTTAAATCGGATATATCTTGTTATCCGTTATGTGCCTAGTTTTATCTAAATCTTTGGATCAATGACCGACCGTCTTATCGTGATAGGACTATGACTCTTCTAAAGGCAGCCCCCATGATCGATGGAAATAAACATTAAAAAACTTAATAAATAATAAAATGTTGCGTATTTCTGAACAATTTATTCTATTTGAAATTTTTTAGATCAAAGGAAAATTTTCTATTTTTACATGTTTTATGCAACTTGAAAAGGAACATCTTTTTAATCAAATTTTAATGCACCTCATCGATCAGTATTCTATCCAAATAACGAAACTTTTATGTTCTGTCAATATTGAAAGAAGCCAGAACTTTCATTTCAATGCAAATAAATTATGGATTAAACTAGCCATGTGGAATAGCTCGTCTTATATGGAAGACACAAGTGTTCTAAACGTTATCTATGAGATTTAGGATAATGTGATAGTTACATAATATTAAGGTCAATAAAACTGGGATAATTGGAAATATTTGACAACCCTGACAAAAGATAACAATGTTCATACTTCAGAGGAATTCAATCATTATGAATCTTTTTTAAAAATTATTTATTTAGAAAAGAAAAATTTGAGAGAGCGCCATGTATAAATTTAAGTAAAACCTGTATTATAACAAAAAGTTCACCGAGAAAAATAGCTAACACGTATGTACATGTACATGCAAGTTATATAATATAAGTAAGTAAATGATTTTCTTGAAAGTTAAATATTTATCTTCATATACGTGCATTAATCCTCTTTGCAATTCATGCACATATATTACGTATCATTAATTATGTAAGATAAATGGTTAGAAGAGTTATTCAGAAATACATAGAATCGTTAAAAATACCATCATAGCAATTTGTTAAAAATATTGATATTTTGTGAACATTTCAATCCATCTACCACTAGACACTAATAATAATGAATGAATAAAAAATGGGAATAACGAACAATTATTAACGTTAAGATTCCATTGAAACACAAGAAATTAGGAGTAGAGAAAAACCGGACCTCTTAAAACATCACAACTGAGATCAAATTTGGATGAATTTTAATAAATCAGAGTAATATAATTTAATCCAAAGGTCTTTGTTCAATCAGACCGAATAGGAACAATTAAATGTAAAGAGCCAGATTTCCTATCCAAATGCATCCCGCTATTACATGTATCAAACTTATTTTTTTGTACTCATCATGTTCATAGGAGGAGGAGTTCCTTCAAAAACTTCATATAAAAAAGAAATATTTTGTTGTGACTTTCAATTCATGTGAAACATATAGAGATAACGAACAGTATTCAATACCAAAAGCCCATAAACAATACCAATACAAAGCAGGAGTAGAGCAAACACAGACCTCCAAATCATTAGAGCTGGAATCAGGTGCCACGGAGGAGTTAGCATCCCCTGCCGACCCGTCACACCTGCCGTGTGCTCCTGTCATGATCGGGAAATAACGGAAAATCCGCTGTTAATTCAGTGTATAAATAATGGACTAACAATCATCATTTGAATGAATCGACGACATTTTACCTATTAACGATTTTCATTATTATTCCTACGTTTATTTGATATTTTCCATTGAACCTGAGATGATAGACCCCTCAGAGTCTGACACATCTGTTTTATATTTGGATGTTTTACTAGAAAGAGACTTTAATATTAACCTACTATTAAAACTTTACGATAAACGTGACGACTTCAACTTTTCCATTGCCAACTTCTCTTATCAAAGTAGCAATTTACCATTATCATCTGTATATTGAGTTTATGCCTCTCAGTTAATTCGATACGCAATGGCATGCATACATATGAACAATTTCTGAAACGAGGCTAGCTACTGAAAAAAAGTTATCAACAGTCTAAATAAAAGTCATCCTTTCGCAGTCTATTGTCTTTATTATGCCTTTATCAGTAGAAACATCATCATTACGACGAAGTTGATTGAAAGTTTTCATACGAATTGTTTAGTCATTATTTTAATATTGAATTGTCTCAGAATATTTAAGTTCCGTTTACCCAGTCCTGACAAGAAGCACACGGCTAACGTGATCGGTCTGCAGGGGATGCTTTCTCACCATATGGTACCTGATTCTTCCACTGATGTTTATGTGGTCGGCATTTGCTGTGCTCCTGATTATTATTGTTTCAGTTGACTATTTATAATGTTCCAATTTAAATAAATTCAAAAAAAAAATTGAAAATGAAAGTTCACTTTAATTATTCAGAAACTTAGAAGACGTTAAGTTCAAAAAGTGTATAAAAGTTTTTGATGTTACTTTTTTTTTAACACTTTTCGACACTTATTGTTATAATTTAAGAAGTGTTACAATAAAAAGGTAAAATGGAATTTGTTTTATGTATTGACATGTCATATTTTGAACAATCATGTCGCTGTTAATAAAAAGAAGTAAAGATATAAAAAATTGACAACAATTTAAAAAATCAAATCATTTTATTCAATTTACAAAATGATCAATTTATTTATTTAGCTTTTAAAAAATTATTTTATACGTTTAAGACAATACAATGTAGTAACAATAAGGATATGGAAATAACGAACAGTATTCAATCTCAACGTCCATTAAACAAATATACAAAATAAGAGCAGAGCAAACACGGACCTCCGAAACATCAGAGGTGGGATCAGGTGCCATGGAGGAGTGAGCATCCCCTGCTGACCGGTCACACCCGCCGTGTGCTCATTGTCATAATCAGGAAATAATCAAATTATCAAATAAATAATTAGACTGATCGTTTCATTCAAAAATATTTTTAAAAAAATGAAATTATTTTTACATTTACAATGTACCCTTATGCTTCTAAATTCTCCAAGCATGCTCTGTATATTTGCTTATCTAAACCTTTTCAAATTCTGCCTTTGTTGTCATCTTTGCCATTGATAACCTGTTTTTTATGCATTCCTTCTTAATTTTTTTTTCATTTGCTTTAGTTTGAAGGGAAATTTTCATTGCTATAGAATTAATAAGAATTATAAAATGAAAAAAAACTATCATAACTTAAAGCATCCATATATTCTTGGAGATATCTAATTCAAAATGATTGTATGACCTTATGAAGCGCTTAAATGCTTAAAGGTACTTGGACACAGATTTGAAGTTAATTTTTTCTCTATAATATAACGAATTATATATTTTAATAGCATTTCACACAAAAATTAATAAAAAAAATCTTATTTCATTTAAAAGTTATCAAAACTTCAAATTTGTTGGCGGGTTTGATTGACAAATCCTTGCACTTTTACAAATTTTAATTTTACTCTTAATACTTAGGAAAAGTGGCAATCTTGTTGTGTATGAATGAAAAATATTAATACTGTCATCCAGAAAATTCAGAATTGACATGTTCGAAAGCAAAACAAACACACAATATATTCTCAGTCCGTGCAGTTGTGGTGAGCAGACTTTGACAATTACATGTAAACGCACCTGGTGAAATCAAAACATCAACAAAAACAGAGCTCCTGCCTTGTTTACAAAAACTGTGTACATAACACGAGTGTGATCGATTTGCACACACGACGTAGCTCGGAATGACGATACTTGTGAAGGCGTTTTGCTTTCTAACATTTCTACTCAAAATAAAATTATTTTTCTGGATTAAAGTTTTAATATGTCTCATTAAAACACAGCAAGATTGCCATTTTTCTGATGGATTAAGAATAAAATTAAAATACGTGAAAGTGCAAGGATGCGCCAAAAAACTTGAAGTTTTAATAACTTTTAAATGAAGTAAGATTTTTAATTAATTTTTGTGTAAAATGTTAATAAAATATATCATTCGTCATATTACTGTGTAGTATACAGAAAATATTAACTTCAAATCTGTGTCCAAGTACTTTTAAAGTACAATTCAAAGAAAATTCTAGCAAATGTTTACTCACAACTGTTTGGCAATCTATGACATTGTACACATTCCAGATTTCTTCAGTAGATAACTTATTTCACCTATCTTCAGCTGAACATGACGTTATATGATATGATAACAGTAAATGTCAATAATACTAACATTTAAGAACTCTACGGTATTTATTTATATATGTTCTATTTCAATGGGTTTACGTTTTATCGTAAAAGTACTTGCACTTTCTGTACGTCTGTAGTAGAAGAGTTTAGCAGCACATGTAAATTTTAAGGCTCTTCATCTCTATTCATGACGTTGCATTTAACCATAAGTTTCAAATGACCTGTAAGTTTATTATTATGGCGATGAATTGCATGTTGTACAATGACATCACTTATTTTCGGGGGGTGGGGGGTATCATTTTCGTTGATTTCGTGGTATGGAGAGACCAACAAATTTATTACTACTACAAAGTGTAAAATTTCATATGCACTTCCACTCAACATTTTTCAACTACGGGATCAAATCCCCCAAAATCTAATATTTTTTCCTTAAAGTTAAAAAAATGACCCCACGAAAAAGTTATATACTTTCAGTGTAAAAAAAAAATTTCAATCACCAACTTTACATCTTAAGTCATGTTGACTTTAAAATATTTTATTTCATACTCATTTTATAGTGTAATTTAAAATATTATTTTCTTTCATAAGGTCAGATCTTTATAGTGAAGAAGAAACTGTCTCATAAGTCCGGTCATATTTTTACCAGCATATAATGCCCAGGATTTACTTAATTATATGTCAAGTCAAAAGTTGAAACATGTGCAGCGAGTATGACATTTTGCAGAAAAAGTATCTATGTGCTTGTGCACATGTAAAACATGTCTCAATAGTAAACAGTAGAAAAAAACTAAATACATCTATTTAAACATAATCTTTTAACTGGCGTCATAAACTGGCGTCATACATGCAATTTTTTTAACTTTGTGAAAGGTTACGTTAAGTGATGGGTCAGACAAAATGTTACAATCCTGCCTCAAGTGATTAAGGAACATAATTCTTCTGTCTTACTCTCCAAGAATGCTGAAAGATTTAACTAAGATTTAGACGATTTTAAATAGCAAAAATTTCACAAAAATCAATAACTTCAAAATCTGTATTAAACATTTTACAGTTCCCCATGTTCATATAAACTCAAGGGGTTTTTACATCATAGACAACTTAATTTTTTAATTGAAAAGCAATGAAGTTTAGGGAGATCAGGTGTTCTCACAGTCTGTCGGAATTTCCATGTGTGTGTACAACACCCTGTTATTACCAGACCCACGTTTTGAATTCAAATTAAGCAGGATTTATTTAAAATCCTATATATAACAGCAGAAAGAGACACTTGTCATGGCCTTCAACTCGATATTTAGATACAGAGTCTGCAACATCTGTTTAATATTTAGATTCTTTGCTGGAAAAATACGTCAATAGTAATCTAACAAAACTGTATGAGAAGCGATTATATCGTCAATTTTCCTCATCATCTGCATGTGTGGTTTACAACACTCAGTTAATTTGATATAAAAAAAAAAAAAAAACATGCTGCACGTACAAACAGTAGCTAAAACGAGTCAAACTATTGCCAAACACGTTGATGAAGCAGGGAAATCTATATTCTTCTTTCAAAGTTTTTATTTCCCAAGTTCTATGGTTGATACATGTTTAATGACTTTGCCTACAAAAACAATAAACACGTATTATAAATCCAATGCTAACTGACAGGATACACTTTAAACCAATCATTATCTACGGATTGTTCCTTCAGCCTGATCATGACAAGGTGTACAGAGGTTGTGACTGTTCCTGTTCCGAGTTCTGAATCTGAGGTTTTACGCTTTTTGCTCTGCATTCGATTTTATTGTTTTAGTGAATTTGTGACTTTGATTACTGTTTGCTATTTCCATATTTCATTTTAGTCAGTAATGTTCTCTCTATAATTCTTTTTCAACAAGATACAAATTAAAAAAAATCCCTTTTTTCAGTAAAAACGAAGACCAAAGGACAGTAAATAATGTTCTTTTTTATTTAAATATAATACAAATAAAAGTTGTTATATGTCATTTATAAATGTTTCCTTAAATAATTAGAATAATTTTCTATATATTCTAGAGCACTCTCGTAATAGAAAAACAAGACAAATCCATGTTCTAATCCTTCCATATGCTCATGTTCAAAATCTAATCCCAAAGACTTCATTCTCTTTGCTAGCAGGAATCCATCGTCCCGCAGAGCATCGAAATCAGCCGTCATGAGGTAGGTTTTCGGTAACCTCTTGAGATCATCGTTGCTGGCTAATAATGGTGAAAAATATGGATCAAGAAAGACACTAATATCAACATCTGATTTGGTTGAAGGCAAAGGTCTTTTCACAGGTTTAGCTGTCTTTTGGAATTTCAATGGCAAATTTTTGACATCGATAATATTGGAGTGTTTAACTCTGTCTACTTCTGATATGTGAGTATTTTCTAACATAGCACTGGTTAAAGGTTCATGCCCAAAGGCATATAGCTGCATACAGTGAATGAGAGTATCTTTCATACAGAATGATGTACTGCGACGGTCCGGATTTTCTAAATAGGACGGGAGATTCAGGTCAACCGCCTGTAGAACAGGATACATTAAACTGAGTAGTTTTAACTTCTGAGTATCCTCGTTTAGGAGTCGAAGGGCAGTCGCCATAGCAAGGTTCCCCCCAGCACTGTCCCCTGTAAACAACCAAACGAACAAATACAATAGGTTTTCAACTGTGGATGCTTGCACATCTATGGCACCTGATCCAATCCCTGGTGTTTTAGAGGGCCATGTTTGCTTTGCTCTCAATTTGTATTGTTTCAGTAGACTTTCATTACTGTCCGTTATTATGCGCCCGAATTTATTCGGGCGTATATAGTTTTTGTTCTGTCTATCTGTTTGTCTGTTTATCTGTTTTTCTGTTTGTTTGTCTGTCTGTTGTCAACTTTAACCTTCGCCATAACTTTTGAAACGTTCGAGATAGAGACTTCATATTTGGAATGCTAACTTCACTAATTAAGCACTTTTCAATGACACCAAGGTCTATGACCTTGTGACCTTGAGTGTAACCTTTATGCTAAAAATAGCTTTTTCGATTTTTGTTGCCGCCAGGCGCATAGTGTTTCACAAACACATGTTGTTTCCATATATTATTGTATTGTACTGTTAATATATTCCCCCAATTAACTGTACATATTTCTTGATGCATTTATATACTAAAGTGTGATAGCTATTTAGAGCATAAGAGTTAAAATTTCCGTACATATAGGCGTAATTGCACATTACGTACATTCCATGTAATAAATAAAGCTTTTTTATTGTATTGTCCTGCTAATATCATTCACATTAAATACCTAAAATAGTAGTACTAGTATTAAATAAAACAAATATATGCATGGTCTTTATTCGGTGAATGTAGAATAAATATTAATCTTTTCATATATCCCAATTAGACACAAGTGTTATATTCTGAGAGTGTAATGCTGTTAGGAACAATGATCTACTGAACGTTTTCTCGCGTCAAATCTTTATATAAGATATCTCACTTTAAATGGCAAAGGCTGAAAGATGATTTTACTTTAAAAATATTTGATTAACAAAATTAATGTTTGTTGAATATTTACATTTATCATTTCTTAGAAAAAATTATATGTTTCGAATCAATAGTAAACATTTACCTGTCAAACCAATTCTTGCTGGGTCCACTTTGTATTTTGCAGCATTTTTCAGGAAATATTTAACAGCTTTTACACAATCATCAAGCGGAACCGGAAATGGGTACTCAGGTGCGCGCCTGTACCTACATCAAAGTTCAAGAAGTCATCAAAACATGATACATATAAACAATGGGAGAGATTAATAGATAGAATTAAAAATTGTGCTTTACTTCTTAATGTGTTTATTATACATGTACAAGAGAAGCAAAATAATCTCATACTCAATAGACACAACTACTATGTTCGCATGCTTTGCAACCCGTTGACAAAATGCGTCGTAATCGTCTGTAAGAAATAAGGAAAATTAATTCTGTTTCACATTTGCATTAAAAAAAAATCTCTTAAATGATGAACTAAAGTGGCAGCTCACCCACGTCTAAATACGCCCATCCACCGCCATGAATATTAATAAGTGCAGGTGAAGACTCCGAGGAGAGACCTTTAGGGGTATAAACTCGGACCAGGACTCCGTCAAAATATTCATCTCGAATCTACAAATTGTTGATTATTTTCAAAAGTAAAGATTGTTGTAAAGATAAATATATTTTAAGTATGGACTCTATATGCGTAAAATCAATAGAATTCATTATAATTATTAAAATTCGTCTTAATCATGATACAGACTTGAGAAAAGATATTTAGTTTGTGTGTGAAAAAAACGTATATAGCCTATTCAAGTGTCTTTTAACAGTCTATAGGTTGAACATTATTGAACAGTTATTTCAAAACTCAATGGTATTTTTGTCTCGTATTTTAATACTTGAGAGGAACATGTTTGCCTATTGGTTTTAAAGGATGATGCAAAGTTTAATGACATTCCAGTCTCAACAAGATGACATTCGCGCTTGCGAAACACTGATCAATGCCCGGATAAGCAGCTCATGGTCATTTTTTTTTCAAAGTATGTTAAAATCAAGGTTATGAGGAAAATGAAATTTTTGTTATCAAAGAAAGGACTTGTCACAAGAAATATACTCAGTACATTAAAAATTAAAGATAAAACCTTGCAAAAAGGTTCAGAAAATACAATTGCAAGGTCAAAGTTTTTTAAAAGTAGTTTCAACTCCCAAAGTTAATGGCATGGGGCCAAGAATTGCTGCACTAAAAGATAGGTCTTCTCACAAGAATATATTCATTTGAAATTTGTAAACCCTGCCTTAATTAGCTAACGTTCCAAAATATCAACAATGTTAAAGTTTGATTTTCACAGGACATGAAAAATATTGCGATAGAAATATTGACAAGTCAGTGTGCTAATGATTGTACTTTTGTATGAAAGTCTGTCCATTTCAGCTCTGAATCAAATATTACCTGAAGCGATCCATCATTAGGCTCTCGTGAAAATATTTTGTTTACAGCAGAGACGTGTCTCGTGATGTTGACATCAGATCCCAATCCAAAGCTGCTCCCGATACCAGACTGTTATTTCAAAAACCGATAAACTAGAACTCGTAAATTTGAGTACAATATCAATCCATTTTTTAACCGTTATTTGAAAATTTCTAATGTTTTATATTGCCTTTAAAGAAAGCATAGGCAAAAAAAGATTAAAATCGCTTGCCTAATTGACAAGAATTTATTAATGTTTGAGTACTTACGATGTCATACATGAGTCTGACCATTGCTCGTGAAAACCTCTGCTTAATTGGATGCCTAGCATGATCAGGGAATGGTGTGTAGAGGTACAAGGCTAACGAGACTCCAAGTATGAGCCAAACTACAATAATTCCTATCCTTGAGTCCATTACGTTTGATATAAAAACCTCAATTTCAAGGGCACCACACTACCAGCGCTATCAAAACAAATGAAGAAACATCATTACTGTATACAAAGTTTTTGTCGTTCCGCTTTAATTTCCTATTTACATTTGCAAACAATTCTGCCCCGTCTTAAATTCGTCCAATCTAAGTTCTGTTTAAGAGAATGTACCGTATTCTTTAATTAGCCCCGTTTTAAATTCGCCCAACCAAAGGTAAGGCGAAATGGGCGAAAATTTTCCCCATATACAGTAATTCGAGCATGAAATAAAATATAAGGAGATAACAAACAGTATTCGAGCTCAGAAGTCAATCAAGCAATACTAATCAGAAGCAGAAAAAACACGGATTTCTGAAACATCAGATAATCGATCTTGTACCATGTACCATGTAGGAGTGAGCACCCCCCGTACGTAGCTAATAAGTCACATCCTCCGTGTGCTCCTTGTCATTGTCAGGAAATAACAGGAAGATCCGTCAGCAATTTAATGTGTAATGAAACATATGGAGATAAGAAAAAGTATTCACGATAAAAAGTCCATAAAACAATACAAAATAGGAGCAGAGCAAACACGAACCTCCAAAACATCAGATCAGAGGTGAGCATCCCCTGTCGATCGGTCACACCCGTCGTGTGCTCCTTGTCATGATCGGGAACTAACGGAAAAATCCGTCATCCATTCAGTGTATAAACAATGAACTAACACTTTATATGAAAAATTTCAGTCAGAATTTGATTCGATGATAAATTACTGTATTTGCTGACAAGGTCATTGTATCGAGCATAAAATTTATGAAAGTTGTTTCATCAACTTGTGTGTCAGTAATTTACCTCATTTTGGAAATTGTTCATAAGTGGAACTTGCTTTTGCGGATTGCATAAACTGTGAAATATAAACACTGTTTTTGATTTTAAAATATTTCATTATGTAATTAATACATAAATGAATCGGACAGTGGGCTTAGTCTATATAAGTCTTCTTATGTAAACTCTATATGCAGGTGATGAAGGTATATTGCTGCATAAATAATAAAAGTTGGTGATAGAAAAGTTAGTGTAATAACATTTATCATAACGCTTTCTGATTAGATAAGATAAGCTTAACATTATCGTCATTTCTTTGGCACCTCAATTTTATTGGGACATATCGTTTTGACATAAAAGTAGAAATAACCATTATTAGTTTACAAAACGTCGAAATATGTAAATGTCGAGTCCGTGGTTATGCCTTGTTCATAGAGTTGCGTTGTTTATTGTTTTGATTACATCGTTCGTGTTCTTTTTCTTCATCTTATTGCTATTAATGCCTAACCATATAGCAATATATAATTTTGTTTCTTGCTTTGTAAATTTAAGTTTTTACACTACTTTTGTTTTCTTTATATGAGTTATATAACTAAACTTTAAAAGAATGGGATTTGAATATTTAATTGTATGCTTCTTTACGTCACATTCGAGAGGGAAAACACTGAAGAGAAAATTATATTTACTCAGGATGAATACATTTTTAATTTATGTACAGTCTTAACGGGAAAAACTACGATTCCTCACCAATTGTATTATATGTACATAAACTGTTTGACGTGGGTCAAGTTTTTGTCAAATGCCATTTCATTTGAAAGACATTAGTTCATGTCTGTAATTTTGCTATCTATAAAAATCCCTTTTTATTTACTCATGGATCATTGAAAGGTCAATCAATATGCCCTTCCATTATTACCGTAAACGTATATCTCATTAAAACGTTTTAATGAGAGTATATATAAGCACTGTGACCTTAATTGCAGTAAAATATTATTAACAGAAAAGGTTTTACAAGTAAACAAACATCTCACCTCTTTGAACATCTATCCTTATGAAGTAGTAAGTTGTAACATCATATGACTTTTAACACCTCCATTACGATAAGTACCCCGTCGACTTAACAAGAGTGGTTATAAACTAGAACGTGAACTCAGATAAGTACCTATGTCAGACACTGTTTAGACCTTGCTGAAGTCACCCCTTTGTTCATATCAGCTTCAATACAAGGACTTTTTTTTTTAGAAATTCATAGTTTTAGCCTCTAGAATTATGGGACATTGTTCATGTTAGAAAACTGCATCTATACAATGACCTTGTCATCATAAACAATTTACCATTGAGTCAAATGTTGACTGACGTTTTCATACTAATTGTTAGTCCATAATTTATACATTGAATTGACGACAAATTTTTCCGTTATTTCTCGATCATGACAAGGAGCACAGGGCGGGTGTGACCGGTCAGCAGGGATGCTTACTTCACCAAGGCACCTGAACCCACCTTTGATGTTTCGGAGGTCCGTGTTTGCTCTTCTCGTATTTTGTATTGTTTTATGGACTTCAATATTGAATACTGTTCGTTATCTCCATATCCTTCTCATCCTTAACTTCAATTCGAGATTTTTTTCATTTTTATAGAGACGTCACCATATCATATACCGGTGAAGGGCTTCAAAATTAGACCTTTACTCGGTACTCAGGACCATTGAACACTGAGAAATCTTTATCGTGCCAACACCTGCCGTAATATGGGGCCTCAGATTTTAAGGTTTCATGCGAAGGACTCATAACTTTCACCTGAAAGTGTTCTAGGAACAGTTGCTAGCTATCGTCTTCGGTCAGTCGCTGTCGGTGTTCGAAATCACAACTTTCTGTTAACGTCTATTGAACTGAAATATTTCAAATGTTGCGTTCTTATGTTTCTCCTGTTTATCCTATTCTACCTTTCATTGTGTTATAATGTCTAGTTATACCTTTTGTTCAAGTTTTAAAGTTTGTTCTTATGGCAGAGTTTCTTTTCTTCTTTTGATATGGTAAGACATTGATACTTGACTGATAACCATGCGTTTAATTGTGCTAAATAATTACCATAAATTATATCAAATAATATTATCATGTAAACCCGTCTTACAACCCTGATAACCCTGAGGACCTACAAAGAGCGTTGAACATTTTTTCTGATTATTGTGACCACTGGAAACTTCAAGTAAATACAGACAAGACTAAGATAGTAATTTTTTCTAGGGGAAGGATCCCCAAAAACATATTTTTGTACAGAGAAGCACCAATTGAAATTGTGAACGAATTTAAATACTTAGGTGTTATCATGTCCCGTAGTGGTTTTATGTCCCGTAGTGGTTTTTTCAAAAGTGCCAAAACACACTTAACTAAACAAGCTTCAAAAGCAATGTATGGAGTACTTGGAAAGATTAGGTATTTTAACTTGCAAGTAGATTGTCAAATAGATCTTTTTGACAAAGTTATAAGCCCGATTTTGTTGTACGGGTGTGAAGTTTGGGGCTACGAAAACATAGATATTTTAGAAAAGGTACACTTAAAATTTTTGAAATTTGTTTTGCATGTTAAGTCCAGTACCCCAAATTGTATGGTGTACGGGGAAACTGGGCGATATCCTTTAATAATACGTATAAAGGTACGAATGATTACTTACTGGGCTAAACTTTTGATGTCACATGAGAGTAAGCTGACATACATAATGTATTACTTTCTTTATAAGCAATTTTCTGACGGATCATTTTTGCACCCATGGTTGAAATGTATAAGGGATATCTTGAATTCCTGTAGCCTGTCTTATGTGTGGATAAATCAAAACTTCATTAGTGTTACATGGTTAAAATCTATTGTGAAAGAAACGTTGTTAAATCAATTTTTACAAGACTGGCATATGAACATAGAAAATTCACCTAAATGTTTAAATTACAGGATTTTCAAAAACAATTTTGGACGAGAAATTTACTTAAGTAAACTCCCAAAAGACTTAAGAATTGTATTAACAAAATTTAGAACTTGTAACCATAAACTCCCAGTAGAATCAGGTAGATGGACTAATACTGATAGATCTTTAAGATTATGTAATCTATGTAACAAAAATACTTTGGGGGATGAATTTCACTATATAATGGAGTGTCCATATTTTTTGTCTTTACGGGTAAAACTTATTGATAAGAAGTATTAATGACAATTGTCGTCATATAAATACTTATAAATTTGAAAAAATTATGTCCATCACAAATGTTGATTCACTGTTTAAACTGTCTTTATTAGCTAAAAAGATATTGGCCTGCTTTTAGTAACTATTTAATTGATACTACTCTTCCTCGCTTGACTTTGTATTTTGTATATAATTATGTAAATATGTTCATATACCTCATATACCATTGTATGGTCTGAGTGTAAATAAACAAACAAACATACAATGAAGCGCATTAAAGTGGTATGTTTTTTTCTTCTGAATCGAAAGTTTGTGTGATTCTTATCGGATATCAAATGTAACATAATTGCACGCCCATTTCTTTTTAAACGAGAAGGAAAAATTCGTCACTTGATGCTTTAAGACCCATTCTTCTCGATTACAATATGAATTACACTGAAATTACGATTGTTTAAAGTAAAAAGAGAGAGAGTTTCAATTTCTGTTAAACACGTAGTGCAACGAATTTGGACATATTTATGAATTAATCACGTTTATTGTAGTTAACAGAACACAATTTGATTGGTTATTTTATTCATGAAAAAGCTGTTTTACAGTTATACGAATCAACCATTTAATCGGGGTTTTTTTCTTTAAAAAATGCGCGTGTCATTCTATGCCAATCAACTTTCAAAATAGCTTAAAATGTTTTATTCAAACGGAAAATTTTACCAGTTTAATGCGCTTCATTGTATCATGTCTCTAACTATATATCTCAGGGGCGGATCCAGCCATTTTTGAAAGGGGGGTTCCAGGTTTGTGCCCCTCTACCCCCCCCCCCCCCCCACACACACACACACACACATACACACACATCCTCTCTCAACCGAAGATTTACACACACGTGTGGAAATATCTAAGGTTGTGTTAAATAATATCTTTTAAGTCTTCTTTTGTTGAAAAGGTACTGTACCCCCAGTGCGAATTTAAAAAAAAAACACATTTCAAAAACTTCTGAAGCATTTAATTAAATTAAGTACAA